AGTCTATCGCATCCAGATTTTTAAAGCTATGTCATTTCGGGATTAACATAACTTAAATTCATATTCATTAATAAATCGACCTCCTATTTACAAAACTTTAGAGACTATCTGAACTACAGGGTACGTCATGATTGTTTAGGGAGACTATATCCGAACTACGGGATATATATGGTTTAGGGAATCAATCCGAACTACAGGGTACATCATGGCTTAGAGACTCTATCCCAACTACAATGGTACATCAGGGTTTAGAGACCCTTGGCCCCCGGTCCCTCCCTTGTAGCATCAAGACCGATAGTTAACACGGGTTCATTTCTGTCGTGCACCACCTTGCCCATTCACAATTATTTTTTTAAGATAAAAATTGAACCCAGCAACCACCAAACCCATACATAAGACATATTACAAGCCATATCCAAACAAATGACGATTAATTAAACTTCCACCAATTTGGATTTCATTTTGCCGACCATTTTGAATTTCTACGATCAAGAATTCTTGAAATTTATTTTTGAGATCAGCGTTGAACCCAACAAATATATAAGACATATTACAAAATTCCGCAATTTTGGATTAAAATTTGTTAGCCATTTTGAATTTCTGCCATCATGGATTCATCTTTGAGATCAGCATTGAACCCGGCAACATCGAAAACCGTCACAATGACATGTTACAAGTAATATCCCGCAAGTAATACATTAACATCAGCCGATTTGTGTTGCTGCCATTTTGGATTTTCGAAATTTATCTTTAAATTCAGAGACATCCAAAACCATATAAAAGACATAACAAAAGTCATATCTTACGTAAAAGTAGGACGTTAATCCCCATTTCATTCCATATCTTAAGAGATTATCGCTGTCCTTTTATTACCAAATTTATGGGGTTTCTTTTTAAATGACATTATATTTGGCGGCCATTTTGAAGGAAATGCCCGGCACCATATGAAAAACACATTTTTTTTAAATAGATGTTTGTCCAATTTCAGCACATTTCACTTGCATGACCACGATATATGACATTATATTACCACATTTGGCAGCTATTTTGAAAGAAATACACGGTACCATAGGAAAAATACATTTTTTTTTTAATTGATGTTGTCCGATTCGATTTTTCGGTTTGAGGAATTTAAAAAGAAATCATTTATCCCCCCCCCCCCCATTAAAACACACTGATTACTAGATATCGTTCTATGAAAATTCCCCGATTTTGTCTGACAAGAGATACTACAAGAGAAAAATGAAACATTTTGTTAAGTAAAGTTGTATCATAGCCATATATAGGTAGAGTTGCAACAACTGTGGATCCAGAAATTCCAAATGACGTCATGAAAGTATGCAGAGAAAGGTATTAGAGGGATGGCGGGCGGGGGGGGGGTCTATTAAGTAATCGCGTGTAGCAGCTCGGATGTCTCGAAAAACGAGGTTCCGAGTAAATATTGGCACGCACGTAAAGAACCTTTGAGAGAGAGAGAGAGAAATGGGGTTTAACGTCCACTCGACACAAACTAGGTCATTTCGGGACTAACATATGGTTTTAATTTTATTTACATAATTCGCTTGCGCGTAGGGGTCTTTAGCAGTGGACGGAAACCGGAGGCCCCGGAGAAAACCCACGAGGTTGGACAGGCGACCCCACTCCTTGCCACGTACAACCGGGGATTCGAAACCACGCCAGTCGACTCAATGACAGACTTTATGATACAGCGCGCGCGCTTACCATTCAGCCATCCAACCCCCCAAAGAACCTTGCATAACATATACCCGTCGTTATTGGCCCCATGTAAATAGGTATTATATTTGCATCTAAGAACATCTCCACCTTTAAAAAAATTTCTAGTTAGTTGATTACTGGACAATATTGTTGAAATGTCTAAATATTCTATTTAGTACCTTTCTTAAGTAAAGCTGAATCAAAGCCGTGTATAGGGCTATACAGGGCTTTGAGCTGAATGATGCCATGACGTCATAATTTTTATGGCATCATAGTTGTGGCCCAAAATGGCGCCTGGAAATGATTTGTCGTAACTTTCCCTACACAGGGCTTTCAACCTATGTCGTGATGTCCCTTATACTTGCAAATTTCAAGATTAGAGAAGCCCGAAAAAACAGACAAACAATAAGAAATCAAAATGAATTTACAGTAATTCTAAATTTATTTACATTCAAAATGCATTTACAAAATTCACAATGCATTTACAAAATTCAAAATGCATTTACAAAATTCAAAATTTAATTACAAAAAATTCAAACAAGATCATTACAGGACTGATGTATTGTTCAATTATTATTTCAATAATTCGCTTGCACTTTTGATTCTTGATTCTGCTTGATTCTTTAGCAGTGGAAGGAAACCAGAGTACCGGGAGAAAACTTACGTTCGGGTGTGTGTGTGTGGGGGGGGGGAGGATTGAAACCATGTCACTAGAGTCGAGGACAGACCTTATGAACTAACGCGCGCAACCTTTCGCCCCATCCCAACCAATCAATTACCGATAGGCCTTAAAGGGACATTATACTCACAAATATATGAATGATTCTACTAAGTCGAATGAGGCTTTCAGGGTGGATGAGGGGGGTGGCCGAATTGTTAACACATGCGCGCTGTATCATAAGATCTGTCATTGAGTCAACTGCCGTGGTTTCGATTTCCCGGTTGTACATGTACGTTTTCTCCGGGTCCTCCGGTTTCTTCTCACTGCTAAAGCACCCTATACGGCTACTATACGGCAAGCTCCGCGGAAATTGTTTTGGACATTTCAGGTTCTGCCCCCCTAACATTCATAGAACCCGTACGCCTTTGTCCTACGGTTTCCTCCCACTGCTAATGACCCCGACGCGCAAGCGAATTGTTATCGAGTGGACGTTACTGCCCCCCACTCCCCCCCACTCTCTCTCTCTCTCTCTTTCTCTCTCTCGCTTTCAGTATGGAATTTCGAATCCCCTTTTGTACTGTCTCCATACAATTAGATAGTTCCATGGACCATTTTGCGAACCTTCACGAGCATTTCGTTGTAACCGAGCAAGTAAATATTTCGACAGTCGTAGCAGGTATGGTCTCCAATAAATGTCTTTGGTCGATCGCCTGTTACGTCACGATATTGACCAGCCGGCATACAGTGTGCAAAAAGGAAATTTTGTATAATTTTCTAATTAAATTATCACTTGGCCGAATGGTTATTATCTTGTTTGGAATTTTATTATTTGCTATCTTTGTCAGTTCATTTGTTAAAGTTGCAATTTCATATTTTTAAGTTATATTTTTTAAAATTTATTAAAATAAAACCTTAAAATAGATGGTATCTATAAACAGTCCTACCTTGTTAAAGAATAATCCTATAATTCACTATTGCCAGTTGAGAAATTGGCAAAAATATCATTTTCATCTTCAAATTAAAACGTTTGAAGATAACTACTCCATGGTGGAGAATAAAAAACAAGGGAGGTAATTGGGAGTTAATTGTGTTATTATTTCCGGTGTAAATGAGTTTTAAGTGTGAGAATGACACCTACGATCGTATAATAGTGAGTTGACAACCTATTGAGCAAAAGACATAGAAATAATTATGTTTTGACTTTCTTAGAAAATATGAAATTGTAACTTTAATGAAGCACAAGACGTAGCTATCAATGGAGCGTTTAGCAACAATGGAATCCCATTTAAAACGATCGAATTTAGTACGTCATATCTGAATGGTTAGCACGTGCGCGCTGTACCATAAAGTCTGTCATTGAGTCAACTGGCGTGGTTTCGATTCCCCGGTTGTACGTGACAAGGAGTAGGGTCGCTTATACAACATCGTGGGTTTTCTCCGGGTCCTCCGGTTCCCTCCCACTGCTAAAGACCCCTATGCGCAAGCGAATTATTGAAATAAAATTGAACCATGTGTCAGTCCCGAAATGACCTAGTTTGTGTCGGGTGGACGTTAAACCCCATTTCTCTCTTTCTCTCTCTTGTTCACACGGACCAAAACAGCGTCTATTAGCATGGTTCACACAGTAGTTATCTACCAATCTTATATAAAATAAATTTTAACTATTAAATATTTTCCGACGTACTTATCTAACTAAAATATTTGAAGGTAATTATTTCAGAATAAATATAAATAGCGAAGTAAGTAATGCGTGGATGAGCTTGAATGTACCGGTTGATGATAGTTGCACACCTTGATAGTTGCATGCATTGATATGTAGATGCATACATTGATTGCTTCACTAGTCAAATGTGTGATATTTCTCAGGTATTTGAAGTGCGAGCTATTAAGGGGGTTATTAAAGTCAGAGGGAGATAGGTTAACGTCCGTTCGACACAAACTAGGTCATTTCAGGACTAACATATGGTTCAATTTTTATTTCAAAAGATTTCGGCTGCGCGGAGTTTTTTTTTAGCATTGTTGGGAAGGGGGGGGGGATACCGGAAGACCCGGAGAAAACCCACGAGGCTGGACCGGCGACCCCACTCATTGCCACGTACAAATCGACAATCGAAACCACACCACTTGACTCAATGACAGATCTTGTGCTATCACGCGCACGCGTTTTACCACACCGTGGTTAATTTTGAGCACTGATTAAAGTTACAATATCATATTCTTAAGTTATATTTTTAAAATGTATTAAAATAAAGCCCTTAAATAGATGGTATCTATAAACAGTCCTAGCTTGTTAAAGAATAATCCTATAATTCACTATTGCCAGTTGAGAAATTGGCAAAAATATCATTTTCAACTTCAAATTTAAACGTTTGAAGATAGCTATTCCATGGTGGAGAATAGGAAAACAGGGGAGGTAATTGTGTTATTATTTCCGGTGTGAAGATTTTTAAGTGTGAGAAAGATAACCTATGATCGTATAATAGTGAGTTGACAACCTATTGAAATAATTAGAAATAATTATGTTTTGACTTTCTTAGAGAGTTAGAAAATCTGAAATTGTAACTTTAAATAGTGGATACCGTTTACAGTTTGAACTTATAATTTGCCATCATCAGTGTTAGGATCTATCAAATATTGTTTTTGTGACCTTCTTTCTACACCCTGGGAGTCACTGGACCGTTTGATTAACAAGCGCCATTTACATCGGCTTTGTCTGAAATTATATATTTCAATCTTTGCGTCAAAATATGTTACGTTTTAAAAGTACAATGGAGACATGTCATGTTGAATAGTGCATGACGTTAACTCCATTAAGATAAATATAGTGATTTTATGCAATAGTCGACTTCATATCCCTATTTGATATGGGGCAATCCATGAGTTTCAGAAACACTTAATCACTGTTGCCTCGAGGTTTAATTATCTAACGACTGAATTAAGAAAGGCGATCGGATATAAATATATTTCTGTTGTAGTGTATTCGGTTGATAAACTTATTAGCTGAAAATGTCTGCGAGTCTTAGAATATGTCTATGGATTTCAATTTTATCGAGTGGATATGTTTCAGCAGAAGGTCATCCGGAAGATCTTATATTATTTGCATGTCAATTCTTCGAAGCTACAACTCCAGTAACAACCCCAGCACCATCCACAACGTTAGAAGCTACAACTCCAGTAACAACTCCAGCACCATCCACAACTACAGAAGCTACAGCTCCAGAAACAACTAGAGCCCAAGACACAACCTCAACGACGCCAGAAACATTAACAGGTATATTGGTTAAATTCAGCGACTCTCTATAAATCTTCATGGATATAGAATATCGACAATAATAGGGTTATATTATTCATTTAAAAATGTTCAAAACACATTAACTTTTAGGAATCGTTAAACATTAAAATTTGTGTTTAGGTAAGAATTTTCTAAATCACCCACGCATTGTCGTAATTCTAAATGATTCACAGCCCTTTTGGAAACGGTACTTAAAGTAGCTAAGTCTCTAAGTCAATATCACCCAAAATCTTCGACACTGAAAGCACGAATTAGTTGTCAATTTTAATCAACATTGGTGTTGTGATCTTACCGTGAAAAGATGGGTTTCTGATATCCAATATTTAAGACAAAATAAACATTTTACGATTGGTACGCGAATCGTGTACCATAATGCGTTTCAGCGCAATTTGTAACAAACGACTCAAAGAACGAGGTTAGAGATATTCCACAAGTCATGTCAAACGGTGACCCCATATTCTTATCTGGAGAGCATGCTCAATAAATACTATCGGTGTAGACTGGGATAACCAGACGCTAGAGATTGCCATTCGATTCAGACTTTTGGCGTATTTCGTCGAACATAACTGCTTTGAAATTAGAGTAAAAACGGAAACGATTGAATGTAAATCGGTTTTTTTTACATTCATATTACATTATTATATACGTTGCGGCCCATTTATGTCAATTTGTAGATCCCAAATATTAGGGATTTAGCTCCTTTAACACTAATGATGTGTGATTTGCATTTTTAGGAAGATATGAAATTTATCACGGCTTAATCCACAATAATTATGTAAATTGATTATTTAACATTTCAATTAAGAACACAAAATCAAAATACCAACTCTAGATAGTTCCAAGCATGGATTCAGTTGGATTTAAAACAGGCCCATCAATTTGGTTCGGGGCAAATATAGATACTACATCTTGTTTCTTGTTACATAGGAGAGAGAGAGAGAGAGAGAAAGAGAGAGAGAGTTAACGTCCACTCCACCCAACTAGGTCATTTCGGGACTAACACATGGTTCAATTGTATTTCAATAATTCGCTTGCGAGTAGGGGTCTTTAGCAGTGGGAGGAAACCGGAGGAACCCGGGGAGCCGGAGAAAACCATAAACATGTAAAAGAGAGAGAGAAATGGGGTTTAACGTCCACTCGACACAACATCCACAACACTGGTATTACATGCTTTTACACTATTTGCGTACAAGGTGCGATCCTTTCGGCCGGCAGTTTGGGTCAGATTTTTTACGAAATTCGATGTCAACCTTCTTTGATGTGTAATGGTGATATATTTAAAGTTTTTTTTTGTGTTTTTTTAAAATTGAATACAGATTGTGACTTCTGGCGGGTACACAAGTTAATATTTCGAACAATCGGGGACCATAATCCAAGAGATTATGTTCGGATATGCGCGATTATCGTCAGGAACCAAGATCTTTATGATATAAAAAAAGATTTAAAGTTTCATCAAAATCGGATCAAAATTGTGGCCTCTAAAGAGTCCACAGCCTTGATAAACCATAGTTACACTATTTGGCTACGAGGGGCGGCCATTTGTTCCGGCAGTTTTGGTCCGATATTCACGAAATTCAAACTCAACTGTCATTAGGGTGTATCGATGATATATTCAAACGGGTTTTAAATCGGATAAAAATTGTGAACTCAAGTGGAACCAAAAGCTAAAAACGCAATTTTTCGTACAATCAAGGATGCGTGAATATCGAATGGAACCATGATCATTGGCTTATAAATATGCATTGCAAGTTTCATCAAACTCGGATCAAAATTGTGACCTCTAGAGTGTTGACACCCTTGATATACCATACTTTTACACTATTAGCGAACAAGAAGCGGCCATTTTGTTCGGCAGTTTCGGTCCAATTTTCCCGAAATTCGAACCCAAACATCATTTGGGTGTAATGGTGACGTATTTAAAGGGTTTTTAAAATCGGATAAAAATTGTGACTTCTAGACGGCTCACAAGCTAAAACGTGATTTTGCGTACAATAAGGTTCATAATCCAGGAGGTTTCGTGGATGGCTCAATGGTTAGCACGTGCGCACTGTATCATAAAGTCTGTAAATTGAGTCAACCGGCGTGGTTTTGATTCCCCAGTTGTACGTGACAAGGAGTACGGTCGCCTGTCCAACCTCATGGGTTTTCTCCGGTTTCCTGACACTGTTAAAGACCCCTAGGCGCAAGCGAATTATGGAAATTAAATTGAACCATATGTTAGTCCCGAAATGACCTAGTTTGTGTCGAGTGGACTTTAAACCCTCTCTCTCTCTCTCTCTCTCTCTCTCTCTCTCTCTCTCTCTCTCTCTCTCTCTCTCAGGAAGTCTTCATGCAAATAATTCATCTTTATTATGGAAACATTACATAGTATTAAAGAACCCGTATCTAAAACTACTTTATTTTAACTAGTAATATCAATATTCATGAACACGTAAACACCTGCGCTAATCGGGCAATGAAATGAAAAATGAGATGTCAGTTGTTCGGCGCCTCGGTCCTCTATCAGGGCCGGCGGAAGCAATTCTTGATTGGGGAGCTACTAAGACTTTAGGCGAGGGTCCAGGGTCGCTTAGGCCCCTGAAGCCCCTCGGGATCTATAGACGCTTTCTGGCTAACGAAATTACTCAGCAATGTTTCTAAATCCCTTACCATGCAAGCACATTCGATGTTGGCTTCCTGTGATACTTAACTTGACAAATATATGCATAATAATTCCAAGCTTGTGGACACTCTAGACGTCAAAATTTTATAAGATTTTGATGAAACTGACAATGTAGGCCTATGTTTATAACCTAAAGATCTCGACATGTTTAGTTTGTGGACCCTCTAGGCCTCGCATTTTTTATTTGATTGTCAAAACCGTTCAAATATGTCACCGTTGCATCATAATGACGAATGAGTTTAAATTTCGCGAAAATCGGACCGGCACTGCCCGACAAAATGGCCGCTACCTTTAAAAGCATGTAATATCCAGGTTGTGGGGCAGAGGTTCGAATTTTGATATATCCTACAGGCCCGGGTTCCTTTCGATATTGGCACGCATTGGACCGTAGCTTTCTGGATTATGACCTCTACTTTACGAAATATTACGTTTTTAGCTTGCGGACCCTCTACAGGTCACGACTTTTATCTTATTTCCAAAACCGTTCAAATGTATTACTGTTACATCATAATAATGAATTTCCTGAAAATCGGACCGAAAGTCTCAGTCAAATAGCCATGGCTCTCCTGTACGTAAATAATATAAAAACATGTATTACCAAGGTTGTGGACCATCTAGAGTTCAGATTTTTTTTATCCGATTTTGAACTTAAAATGAGTATCCATAGCTCTTGCATGAGTTCAATTTTGGTGCGCATTGGCCCCCTGCCTTTTAAGCAAAATGTGCCCCCTAACTTTCGGGCAGACGGGTAAAGTGAAAACAAAAATTAATATTTCATCTAGTTGGCAAAATGAAGTGCCCGAAATCTAATAACACACTAATTTTACTTTGCCTTAGTGCGACATTTTGCGGGCATCGATTATGTTTGGTGAATGCAGCTGCAACAGTCTAACAGGATGTTTGGAATTCGGGTTGACAGAGTGGTATTTCGTTGAAAACCGACTGGAAACTTTGAAGTTGCTTAATTCACGGGCTAGAAAAGCAGGAAAACGCATTTGCGGCGGTTAAATTTTCAAAATTTTCTCGGGGAGCGCGAGGCCCCCATACACAGAGATAATTGATTGGTTGTTTGGGATTTGGGATTTAGGTAAGTCACCTAAGATAGACAATATTGGACCACATTGAAGTATCTGTATTCACGGGATGGTCTAGCAGGAAAACGCGTTTGCTGCAGATACATTTTCAAACATTCATCGAGTTCGTACGCCTATGCATCAGGGATCATTTTATGTATACATTTATCTGATATTTCTACATGTACTTTGATAAAAGGTCACTCAGTGAAACATGAAATACCCTTCATAATGGGCTACTGTTAATTACAAAAATTAACGTCATGCTCCAAATGTATAATGAATTTGTTCATCTTTGATGTTATACACATTCACTCATCGTGTTCTTTATATTATATATTATTATTCAAGGACGTTACTCAAATTACATAGGGGCGATGTTAATACAACAGTCTTAATGCTACGTTCCCACGTGTCTGTGACCGTCAAAATTTCCAAATTATTATTATTTTTTTTTTTTTTTTTTTTTTGGGGGGGGGGGGGGGGGTCCTATATGGTAAGCTCTGCTCCTTCGCCTCTCGCAGACGACCCGCACCACCATCTGTAACCCGCTATTATTTTTGGGGGGAAATTCAGGTTCAGCCCCCCTACATCCATCGAGCCAGTACGCCTTTGCTCGCAACTGTGGGTCTCTCAACCCAGGGATCAGTATACTGCATAATAGGGTTTTCTTCTGAAAGCCTACGTTCTAGAAGTGTCACTTCTGTGTTAAAATCAGATCTTGTTGTATCTAACAGCATAATTACTTGCGTGCAATAACCAGCAGAAAAGAGTACTTACGGCCAAATCATTGGAGTAGCTTCCTTACTCTGCCAGGCCTGTCTATTTCTTGGGACGAATGTGTTTCTTGTAAAAAGAAAAAAAAATCATTATATTTCTTATCCTTCAGCCATTGAAATGTTTGTAGCCTTTTATTTTTGTCTAGCCTATAACCGGACATATCCTTACTGAGACATTGAAATTAAACACAAGTCAGTCAATTAATATTCATATATTATTATAGTTTATGAATATTCATATGCTATTATATTCATATGATATTATAGTATACGAATATGCATATGATATTATAGTAGATGAATATTCATATACTATTCAAAAAAAGTAGGGGATATTTGATTTTTAAGTGTTATTAAAGTCACCTAATGAAACTGACGAAGAAACAAATGACAAAATGAAATGAAGTTCACATTCATCGATTTATTCCAAATGATCGTTAGACTAAGTAAGGCACAGACTGACCATTATAAGGGTAAAATGATACCCGGGGTCAAACAGCAAAGTTACCACAGCATCACAACCAAGTCAGTAACGGGTAAATCCTCCTCTGTTTGCCAAACAAGCATTGATCCGACGTGGCATACTCCTAATGAGACGTCTAAGGTCATTTTGGTCCAGATTGTCCCATTCCTGTTGCAACGCAGCAGCAAGTTCTTGGACATTGGCAGGACGTTGTTGACGTTGACGTAACCTCTGTCCAAGCATGTCCCAGACATGCTCGATGGGGGAGAGGTCGGGACTCAGTGCTGGCCAAGGTAATGTGGTGATGTTCTGTTGTTGGAGGTAACCTGTAACGATCCTGGCCCTGTGACATCTTGCGTTGTCATCCTGGAAGATGAAACGGCGGCCATGACGTCGTGCGAACGGCACAACATGGACTGCCAAGATGTTGTCCCGGTATTACTGGCCTGTAACACGCCCTGCAACAACATGTAAAGCCGTTCTTCCAGCAACAGTGATGCCTCCCCACACCATAACAGAACCACCCCCAAATCGATCATGTCTGATGACGTTAAGGTCTTGGAAGCGCTCGTTTCAACGACGCCACACCCTCCTACGTCTGTCCAAAAAATCAACAGTGAACCTTGACTCATCTGAAAACATCACATTGCTCCAGCGTCGATTATCCTAGTGTTGACGATCCCTACACCAACGACGTCTTGCCTGAATGTGATGATCTCTCAAACAAGGGATCACGCGAGGACGTCGGGCGCGAAGGTGACCCCTGTGCAGTCGATTCCGAATCGTCTGGCCACTCACTCTCACACCAGTGTCTGTTTAAAGACGAGCGCTGATCTGATTTGTTGTGATGACACGATTTCTCAAGGCCAAGGTACGGATAAATCGATCCTGGGCTTGAGTTGTCGCCCTTGGTCGACCTGAGCGTGGTCTGTCCTGTACAGATTGTGTATCACGGTATCTGGACCATAGCCTGCTTATGACAGACTGAGAAACATTCATCGTCCGCGCCACAACCGCCTGTGTTGTGCCGATCTGTAGCATGCCAAGGGCACGTAACCTTTCATTTTGGGTAAGCCGGCGCATATCAAAATTTGTTTTCTGGTCACTAAAACAATTAAACTGATGTTTCCACCCTGGAATTCAATGCCACAATGACTGTAACATTCAAAGTCAGAGTCGTGCAAATCTTGGGTTGGACCCCCATGATGATCCCAAGCATCACATGCATTCCATGCGGTAGCTATTGGTGCGTTTGGGCGTCACATGTAACTGGAAATGTTTCTTCTGTTAGGTTCTATAGTGACTTTTTTCGTAGTCATTTGCATATTTTAGTATTATGCCCCCAAAATCAAATATCCCCTACTTTTTTTGAATAGTATATAATAGTATAGCAGATGAATATGCATATGATATTATAGTAGATGAATATTCATATCATATTATAGTATACGAATATTCATATCATATTATAGTTGATGAATATTCATATCATATTATAGTATATGAATATACATATGATATTATAGTAGATGAATATTCATATCATATTATAGTATATAAATATGATATTATAGTAGATGAATATTCATATAATATTATATTATATGAATATTCATATCATATTATAGTAGATGAATATTCATATAATAGTATGGTAGATGAATAGACCTGTGTTCAAATTCAGTGTTTCATTAAGGATAAACTATAATATTCATATATTATAATATATATCTAATACTATTTTACAGATGGTGCATGCAATCCAACAAAGTGTGAGTCATATGGATACGGAAGAAAATGTATGGTATTTACATGCATTACAGACGGTAAATGATAGCTGTTATTCTGGCATCTATAATATTTTTATTAATATTATTAAAATAGACTCGAAATATTTACCAAAAAAAAAAAAATATATATATATTTACCATGAAATTGTGTTGAATGATATATTTTATCATATTGATGACGGTAATCAATCTGTTTCACAGATTATTACGAAAGTCTTCTAATATCTCTGTGAAAGATTACTGTGAATAACTGCGTATAAGTATTACAGTGTAATTTTTTTCATTTTGTGCTCAACCATCTTCCTCAACTCAAATCTTTATTGACAAATATCTTCAAAAAAAAAAAAAAAAAAAAAAAAATGACCATTACAATATTTTCAAACTTCATCCAAACACATCTCTGAAATACATAAAACAGTAGAAAATCAGTCATAAATGCATAAAAACCGTTTCAGGCATCATAAATTATTCGTATTCGTAACTAAGCAGTGTGGACAATTTTGTTTTCTTTTTTTCTTTGTTGCACTCAGCAATGTTTACTTTAAATTGGAAATTGTAAATCATGGTTTAATCAAATTCTGAATAACATGGTCCGCCTAATAATGAGTCATTAGTCACAAGAAATCGTTTGAAAATATTGTAAGGGAGGCGAAATGGCAGTTGAGATCAGGGGCGAAAATGTGGGGGGGGGGGAGCAAAAAAAAAAAAAAATAGTCGGTCGCAAAATAAAGGCAGTCGGTCGAAAAGTAAGTGCAGTCGATCAGAAAATAAGTGCTCACTGAATTAATGAGGTAAACAAACAATGCCAAAATAGAAGGAGAAATCTCAAATTTTTATGTATTTGCGTAAATCCGTCCGTGCACCTAAATTGCATACGTCACACTAATCACCCAAAACTTTAGTATAAAATAACCTTGTCAATTTATTCTGTTGTGAGTTGGTCTAAGAAAAAAAACCCCCACCCCCTTCCTGGGAGAAAAATAGTCGGTCTCAAAATACGTGCAGTCACTGCAGTCGTTCTCAAAATTATTATGCATCGGCGACTGACGAAATGAATTAATGAGGTAAACAAACAATGTCAGAATAGACGGGAAAAATCTCAAATACTTAATATACGTGCACCTAAATTTCTTACATCACATAGTCGGTCTCAAAATAAGTGCTCATTGCAGTTGGTATCAGACTAAATGAATTAATGAGGTAAACAATGCCAAAATAGAAGAGAAACATTTTGTGTGAATCAGTGCACCTAAATTGCAACGGTATAGTATAAAATAACCCAGTCAACTTGTCATGTTTGTAAAAAAAATCCCTATTATGAGTATGTTGGTCTAAGAAATTGAGAGCTTGTTACGAAGATTTTGATATTTTAAATTATATTCTTGATTGTCATACGAATAACATTAGTCGAACAGTTGGTAAGAAGTTATCGGAAGCATAGTTTGTTTGAGAAATACGTAAAAAATCTTTAAATTATGAAATGTTAAGACGATCTATTGCACGTCGGAATTTTTACTTGTTGCATATTTAATCCCAGTAGAAATTAAAACGTATTTTACTCATGTTGTAAGTATTTTCTGACTATTAGAATTCTGCAAAACCATTCCCCAGATCCCAAAGTCCAGTAGATGGCATTTCAGAGACCAAGTAAGCGCCCCCGTGAGACAAAGTCCACGCCGGCCCATTCCCAAAAAATTAAAAGCTTAGTTACATAATCTAATTACATAATCCCAGCAATGACCTCCTGTTTCGAATTTAGAGGGGTGTTATTGTCCAATAGACATGTCCTGAGATTTTACATTAGAACCCGGGACGCTAACCCGTCTTGGGTCCTAATGATCTCAGGACATGTCTATTGGACAATAACACCCCTCTAAATGCCAAACAGGAAGTGTTTATCTCCTAAATACCCTGATAACAAGTAGCTGTTTTTCCGTAAGTATGTGTTATAATTTATTGCTCTATCCAGTTACTAAATAAATATTTACATGGTTGTTGTCTTTCAGAGGAGGGGGGTGGATGGCTGAATGGTTAGCGTGTGCGCGCTGTATCATTAAGCCTGTCATTGAGTCGACTGGCGTGGTTTCCAATCCCCGGTTGTACGTGACAAGGAGTAGGGTCGCCTGTCCAACCTCGTGGGTTTTCTCCGGGTCCTCCGGTTTCCCCCCACTGCTAAAGACCCCTACGCGCAAGCGAATTATTGAAATAAAATTAAACCATATGTTAGTCCCGAAATGACCTAGTTGTGTCAAGTGGAAGTTATACCTCATTTCTCTCTCTCTCTTTCAGCGGATGATTGCGGGGATAATACCTGTGGCCGTGATGACATTTGTCGCAAGAATCAGTGTACAACGTACGGTATGTGCAGGATATTGGTTTAAAATACAGATGTGACGTCACCCTTTGATGTTGGCGTACCATTATTTCAAATAATCGTACGAGCAACTTGCCGATCGTACTAGGAAATATTGGGTTCGCGTGACGTATTTCACTGTAATAGCACGTGCGGAATGTCTGTATTTTAAGTCGTTTAATGGTCTCGAGCTTAAGACATTGCGTAATATATTTTAAAAACACTCGGGCCTCACGGCCCTCTTGTTGTTACAATATATTACTTAATGTCTCGCTCTCGACCATTAAACAATACATAATGTCTTTTATAAAAAAATTATTATTGTCGCTATATATATTGTGTTATTGTGGGGTGGGGGGGGATGTCTAAGTGGGTAAGACGCTGGCTCACTAACCTACAGGTCGGGTGTTCGATCCCTGCATTGTCCAAGAAAGTTGATCCGGGCGTGGTTTCCCCTTGTCAGTGGTGCAGGAGGGAGGGTCTGACAAGGACAGCTGTCTAGTCGCTAGGATGTGACGAAAACTCGAGGTCCCGTGTATGCTTCGATATACACGTTAAAGATCCCTTAACAGTTGGAATTCGATATAAGAGTAGGCTGTAGTGCCGCTGTCCCGGCATAATTTCCCTCATAGCACACTGTATGACGTATGCCCGTCTTCATTAGCCCAGTTGGAGGAGAACAGTAGGACGTTAAATCCCTGTTCGTCCGTCCACAATTGTTTGTGAACATTCTACAGGTCACAATTTTTATCCAATTTCAATGAAACTTAAAAATATAGGTTCATCACCCTACGATCTCGGTTGCTTTCGAAATTGTCATGTATCGGACCGTAACTTCATGGATTAATATTAAGTTAAGTTAATATTTCTGGCTCATTAAGTCGCATCGATGTCACCCTTATCAGTGATTGTAGCGGCCTAGCGAAAATTCACTGCTGATCAGTTTGGCAAAATGTGGGCGTATCCTGCCTGGCAGCCGCTGGTGTTATTGGTACATGTTATCAACGAAATACACGCCCATGAATACGGTCTGTAGAATTAAATTCGTCAAGAAAAAGCATACAGACTCCCCTTTATTCAATATCAAGTCGATATATTGCAAACGAACTGGTAAGTAAGAAAGAACATTGTTTGTTGATTTTTTCTGCATATTGTAGGCTAATGTTTCGAGGGCTATCGTTGGATCTAATTGTGTAATTTCCAGTCTAGCTACAACCCCTTGAACTATACGAGTTCACACTATAGGAAATGAAATGAAATGAAAGGGGGAGTAACGCCCTACCCTTCTGCTCTTATAAACTGGGTTGATGAAGACGATCACTCGGCAAACCTCGGCAGATTCCGTTACTCTACATCTAGCATCTGCTGTATGACGGAAAGTGATATGTACCTACGCCTATACAATTGCGATGCGGCACCGGTTTACTTATTAGGAAAACTTGCCGCTTTTAAAAAGAAGTTATCAAAATTGCGTCGTTCGCTGCATGTTTAGAATTTCAGTGCAAAGTTTTTCTTTGTTTGAAGAAAATCGGATAACCTTGAAAGAAAAACAGCTTCAGACCTTAAATTATTTGTATGATAAAACGTTCTTCAAAGACGTCGTCATGGGCAACGCCGTTGGTAATCCAGGAACTTGAAAGTAGTTTCAATAGCGGACTTCGTCATACAGCCGAGGCAAGATGTAGGGTACTGGAATCTGCTGAGGTTTTTCCGAGTGATTAATAGTGTGACAATATTCCTTGCGACCATAACGACACAGCTGGTTGTGTGTGAATTTTTCGTTTTCTAACAAATCATTTTTACTTCTACAGATAATATTTTTAATTCTGAATCCTGTAACGAAACTATTGGTTGTCTGCCCTATCGCCAAGGTATGTAAGAAAAACTAACACTATCTTAAATATACATTATGTAAGATTTAGATAAAAAGCTAGCCATTCGTGCTATAATAGTTCGAAAATAGATAATGTAAAATGAATAATTTGAAAATTTCATTCAAATTATTGCGAACGAAGATATTATCCTTTGAAGGTTTGACAAGACGTGTGCAATAATTTCAACCACCGTACTGGTTATTCGAAGCTAAGTTGCGCTGCTCCATTTTAGCTTAAATCAAAATATGGCTGAACTATTCTAATCTATTTAATATCGGAGAAATCCGATGCCATCGAGGGTTGATTATGGCCTGGATAAGTTAATAAATGTGTAATTAATAAATTAGAAAACATTTCAGGCCTAAAGGAAGACCTGCAATAGGCAGAGTTAGCTCTTGCATAATGTATGTTTAACTAATCAGAAATAAGAGGTCCGTCCACAGAGCACCACGTCTTTCGGTTCAACGAATTTAGTAATCAGAATCTCGTACAGAATAACGCTATAATATGACATTGGGGGATATGTTAAAATAAAAAAAAAACAAAACAACAAGCGCATTTACCTGTAGTGACCCATCTTCAATAGAAGGCTTAATCTCGCCTTAACTACGTACATCTTATCAAGCCCTTCGTGTAATACCCCGCATATTTTGGCACTATTTTTGATTGGGTATAAGCCCAGCTTGTGATCCTATCAGATTCATTCGTTATATATATCGTTACGATTATCAAGTCTCGCGCTTATAGCTAAAATGTCTACATGTGACAATCGAGTTGCAAAGTTCAAGGTTCCATCAATGTCAAGGTTGCTGGAAATCATACCTGATCAACAAAGAGTTTCTATGGAGGCCGCCATATTTGTTTACATTGTGTTATGTGCGACGACCCCTGATTGGACAATGCTAATTGATCACGTGTAAACACAACGAGCGCAAAATTTCGGGAATTTCCCAGTACTGAAGCAACGGTTAGATGTTGTAAAACTCGCGATCGTTGATTGTTAGATGTTGTAAAACTCGCGATCGTTGATTGTTAGAGGTTGTAAAACTCGCGATCGTTGCTTCAGGAACATGATAGTGACCATACTGATCTGGTTATTGTCATTCTGTTATATATTACAGGTGAACCATGTGGGTCCACATATTGTGTCGACCGCCAGTCAACTTGTGTGGATGGCATCTGTAGAGGTCAGTAAAATATGCAGATATGAACAGTGGTGTTTTTTTTTTTATTAAAAACCATATGAGTAGTGTTTGTTCAAATTTCATATGTGCCAGGGATTATATTAATTAATGGACCATTGTTTCATATTGAGGTTTAAATCCAGGAACGATTTTTTTTTTAATAAAATGGGTTCCCATTATTTTTCTTTTTATTATGTCATCGGCTTTCATTTTATAAAACGGGAAAATTGGACATTTTATTTGTAGGTGTTGTGCAAATCTAAAGATGTATCTTTTTACAAATAAGGGAGGGGGGTTGGATGGCCGAATGGTTAGCACTTGCACGCTGTATCATAAGGCCTGTCATTGAGTCAACTGGCGTGGTTTCGAATCCCCAGTTGTACGTGACAAGGAGTAGGGTCGTCTGCCCAACCTCGTGGGTTTTCTCCGGGTCCTTCGGTTTCCTCCCACTGCTAAAGCCCCCTACGCGCACAGCGAATTATTGAAATAAAATTGAACCATGTGTTAGTCTCGAAATGACCTAGTTTGTGTCGAGTGGACATTAAACCTATTTCTCTCTCTCTCTCTATCTCTCTCTCCTTTGACGCTAATATGGTTCAATTTATATTTCCATAATTCCTTTGCGCGTAGGGGTCTTTAGCAGTGGGAGGAAACCGGAGGACCTGGAGAAAACCCACGAGGTTGGACAGGCGACCCGACGCCTTGTCACGTACAACTGGGGAATCGAAACCACACCAGTTGAGTCAATGACAGGCCATGTGATACAGTACGCCCGTGCTAACCATTCGGCCATGGTACACCGCGCACGTGCTAACCATTCAGCCATCTAACCCCCCCCCTTTCAGAATAAGCACCAATCTGTTTAAAATACAGATCTATATTTCGTTTCGTTTTTTATACTTTCAATGGCCTACACTACATGAAGATCTGACAAGTTATAGCGATAGGTCACGTCAGGGTTCAAAAGACCGACTTATGACCCTATGACGTCAGACATTTGATTAACGAATCAGCATTGATGTTACTAGTGGATTACCCACAGTTCCGTGAAAAACACGCCTAAAGCTCGCCGTAACAGACCGTTTCATTGGCTTATCCCTGACACCATTCAGAACACGAGTTAAATAACAACGCTTCCAGATCCAAGTGTAGTAAAAGACAAGTAAAACGAAATTTTGAACTATAAAAACGAAGCGAAATAGGATCTGTGTTTTAACCAGATTGTAATTTAATCGATTAGCGTCAACATTGTACCTGATTGCAAAGTTTTACACTTTTTTTCAAAAAAATAAATTCTATGACGTCACTTTAAAAATCATCTAGGTCAAAAATCAAAATTCCATTCCTAACGATCGATTTCAAATCGGGAATGGTTTCCAAAATTAAAAAATATATCGATATTGAAAATCGGATAAGAATTGTAGATTTTGATAAATGAAACAGTTTTCAAAATGGTGGCACTTCCGGTGAATTTTAACTTGATGACATTACTCCAAAAAGTAGACATACTGCACACAGCGATGCATCGACTTCATACCTTGAGAATACATAACTGTGCTAAATACCGTCCATTTAAAACGCTCACGTGATCATTTTGGGGCGGGACTTTTCGACTTTACGGCCAATGACGTATATATACTACGTTTTATAACCGAAGCACGTGGTTGATGTAAACAAATATGTCAAGTTAGCAAAATGTCGACTTCTGCTATTCCGGTTAAAGCAATATATAATATGTGCCAATGGGTGATATTGCAATACAGTAGACAGGCAGCCTAAGTTTGGGATGAAAAATTGATGACATTTTTGGCTAAATCCACCAATTTGTAACCGATTCTGGAAGTTTCAAGTCGAAATCTTCAAAAATATAAAAAAAAGTTATACTCAGAATTTTCACAGTTTTCAATTTTGAGCTTAAATCTATGCTATACGCATGCGTCGTAGATGCAACAATGTTTGAAATTAAAACTTGTCAATTACAAACCGCTACCAATTGGTGAAAACCGCGTTCAAATTGATTGAAAAATAAAAAAAAGATGTCTAATATTGGCCTAGTTTCGTCTATGACGTCACTTAATTCCTGTTAACATTTTATACGTTTTCGATATTCATTCGGAATCATTCAAATTTTGAACTAAATAGGCTACCTTTCAGATAGCACAGAGTTCTATTCTGTAGAATATATAGGCCTATGTTTTCCTAAAAACGAGTGGAAAAGAAATAAATGTGTTATATATAGAAAATGAAATGAAATGAAAATGAAATTGGGTTTAACGTCCTACTGTTCTGCTCCGAACTGGGCTAATGGAAACGGACATACGCCGTACAGTGTGTCATGAGGGAAATTTTGACGGGACAGCGGCACTATGGCCTACTCTTATATCGAATTCCAACTGTTAAGGGATCTTTTACGTGCACGCCAATGTGTACACGAGAACTCGGTTTTTCGTCCCACCAAAGGACTAGACAGCTTGTCAGGCCCTACGTTCTGCATCACTGACAAGGGGGAACCACACCGGAAAATCTAGATGATTTTTCTCGGCTAATGCAAGGATCGAACAACCGACCTCCAGGGCCCGGTTCTTAGAAAATTCTTAAAGTAAGCACAAAGTCATGCTTCACTTTTTCTTACGTAAGAAACTTATAAATATACCGTCCCTAGAAAATTCTCAAGACCATTCTTACGAAAGCACAAGTCAAGTATAAGTCTAAGCACATTGTGACTGGTAAAATTTACCAACTGAGACTACGATGCTCTTTAATGTCATAAAAACAAGTTTTGGTATGCTAATTTCGTCATAAATTTGTCGTCTGCTTCATTGATGTCATATATATATATATATATATATATATATATATATATATATGTGTGTGTGTGTGGGTGTGTGTGTGTGGGGGGGGGGGGGTGCGTTTGTATATGGTGTATATCGAGGACACACATCTGAATACACACCTTCTAATCGTGGACCTGTGTCAACCGAGTACGTCCTCGGTTGAACCGAGGACTTTTTTTAAAACTAAATCCAAGACTATAACGATGTTCAGAAGCCCGGATTTAATATCTCATTTGAATGTCGGGTCGATCTGAGGTGCTCCGCGTTAGGCGGTATTCTACAGTTAGGGTGTATCTTTCGAGTGTGTGATCTGAAAAATGAAAAGTATGATTTTGTGTATCAAATCCTCGGTTAGTGTTTATTGGACAACTAGCGTATCAAGTCCTCGGTTGATCTACGTCTACCATACACATCATAATATGGTCACATGGGAGAAATAAGTTGTTATTTCAACGATAATGAAAGCAAGTTTTACTATTATCATCATCATACCTTTGACAAAACACCAGATGACCTGTACAGGAAAGCCGTTCGATGTTAAAAAAATCAAGCCATCTAGTCATTATATCACTTCTGAATGAATTTTCGAAGTTTTTACCTGGCGTAACGTAAAACATTATTGCCGAAATAATAAGGATAAAATAATAAGTAATCAACAATTGAAATATTAATAAGTTGCGTAAGTTCAAGTAGTGACACTTGTTAGCGCGTGTTACTGTTAAGCCTAGTTTTATATAATGCCTAGGTCCCACTGGGCATCGCGATCCATGCGGATCCATCTGGAAAGCGCCAGGAATGCCTCCACGGCCAGTTTTCCCAACGATAAGTAGGGAACACATCAGTAAAAATTCCAATGCAAGCTTTGAAATTTTTCGCAGTTCTCCCGGACAACCCCGAATGCTTAACTTCCATTTCTCACGGGACTACTCCGTTGTTTGGGGAAAAATTTGTTTTATTTCCATATCGCCGATGATTTTCCCCCAGTGGGACCTAGGCATTAGTTCGTCAAACGTTTGTGATCAGCTATTTTCCAAATTGTACAAAAGAACTCAATATAAAAGACTAGGTTTTGTTATTAACATTTTGATCCACACATCTTAAATAAGAATAGGTCCCCATACACCACGGTGGAAGCGGACGTAAAATACAACTAACAAACAACAACAACATACATGCCCTTTGCGCACTACAGACTTGAGCCTTTCGTTTCAAGTAAATATCTTGAAAATGCAAGTTAATATCTTGAAAGTTCATGTTAGTGTTTTAAAAATTCAAGTTAGTATCTTGAAAATTCAATCTAATATCAAATTAATCTATCAAAAATTTGTTTCATATCCCTCTCAAAACATTGTATTCGGGAGGAAGGACCCCAAGATGTAAAAATCTAATTTTAAAAGCCATGTTTGTTACGTAACTTAATTGAGAGAGTGCCCATTTTCAGAATGTATTTGTCGTTACTTGTGTACATTAAACTATAGTTTAAATTCTGCCCATCGAAATATTGACATCAAGCGAAACAAACAAAGTACAACAATGTAACATGGCGGGGGTGTAGTATGTGGGTAGTTTTTTTTTTAATTATTGGCCATCGCATTTGGTGGCTTTCTATGTTCTGACCTGTTCGAGCTATTTATTGGTTATGTAACTAAGACAGTAAACAATTCGATTACACAATGGTCCTCTTTTAGTGGGTATTAAGTAACTGTTAAATGTAGGCTTTATTTATATTAACATTTCGTCACAAATCTGAATTATCATACTGCTTATATACACGTATAAGCCTTCGTATTTTCCATAAATTCAGTGGCATATTGTTGAACAAGTTTCACTCATCAAAGTTTGTTTCCAAAGTAGCAAATTCTTATATGGGTTCAAATCGCAAAACCAACTGGCTAGTTTCTTCTGTAGTATTTCAGTTTTTATTCTCTCTATAGGTAGAGAAATATAATAGCCAAGGATTTCATATCGCATTTCACATTACATTGCAAGGGATATCTGGATTATATAGCCAGTTATGCTTGTCAGTTAATGATACAGAGTTAGGAAATGGTCGTCGTAATTGCCCCCGAGCAAATATAGAGGACTGTTACAAATTAAAAGTCTTCCTAAAATTAGCATACTGTCCCAAAATTTATATTGCTTTTATTAATTTCACTCCACATTTGGTTT